TGGGGGAAAGGGGAAAAAAAAGAGAACCTTTTTAGGAATTAAAACAGTGGGGGAGGGGGGAAGCAGAAGTAGGAATAGAATGTACAACTAGAGCATTAGTGAGGGGTCAGGAGGATTAATTACAAAGAGTATTGTGCAGGGGTCAGGAGATGAATGTACAAAAAGGTTTAGTGCGGGGGTCGGAGTATGTAATGTACAAAAATAGAGTATAAGTGCAGGGTCAGGAGTATGTAAATTACATATGTAGTATTATAGTGCAGGGCAAGTAGGTAATGCTACTACATAGAGATATAGTGCAGGTCAGGATATGTAATGTACAACATAGAGATAATTGTGCAGGGGTCAGGAGTATGTAGATGTACAACATAGAGTACTAGTGCATGCGTAACAGGGTATGTCACAGTGGAAACATAAGTGATATAGTGCTGTTACTGGATATGTAATGTACAACATAGAGTATAGTTGCAGTAGTCAGGAGTAATCCTATGTACAACATGACTATGGTAGTGCACTCAGTCCCATATGGCCTTAATGTTAGCAACACAAGAGTGATTCAGTTATAAGAGTGTCAGCACTCATAATATTAATATTCATAAATCAAGTAGGAATGTATTAAATGTTTTACTGTAGACCAATTGCAGGAGATCCCACACCGCTGCCTCCCATCTCCTTGCAGACTGAAGCTTTACAATGAACTTGGGGCCTAAGGACACTACGGACAGATCCCTTCCACCGGCCTGTTGTCCATGCATGACGTCACTGAGCAGAAATCCTGGAGAAATTGTACTGTCAAGAGATCTTTATAGACCCTTACATGGTGGCAGAGGATCAAAATCACACACCCCAGGTGCCAGGACCTAGTAAGCACTTATGGTGAAAATGAACATATTTTGCTTGCCAGCTGAAACCCCTGAACCTCCCCATAAATCCTCAGTCCTAGATTACATAAATTGTGTCTGGCAGCACTGAGAAGGAAGTTTATCCCGAAAAGGAGAAATCCAGGAATACAGCGACGGGAAACACAGCGCAGGAAAGTGACCAGTGGATTACAGCTGATATCTTCCACGTCCCCCCCCTAGAATCTGCTGTCCAATCAGTGAGCAGTCATGGATGGAGGTGAATGGATTTAGTGTTCATGACCCACCTGTGCTGATCTCTGTAGGAGTGTCCTCCTGTATAAATGTCCCCGTTATTCCAATCCTCCTCCTTCTTGACTGCTGATCATACCCGTACCCCGCACAGACGCCTCTTTCTTCTTTCTCTTTACCTCCAAATTCTATATCTTCAGAGTCTTCAACCCTAAACCAAGAGAATGATAGAAGGAATGTCATCTGTAAAATATAAGATTTATTATTGTGACATCACACCACCCAATCCACACCCTCCACAAGTCCATCACCCAACCCCACCTCCATCCCACCAACTAGGTCTGGACATTGCAAATGAAAATTGTCCGCAGCATTTACAACTGAGCAGCCATGTAAAATCCTCTCCGCACAATGTAGAAAAAGAAAACTTTCCACCCACATTTCTCCATCTCTGAGGCACAACACTTGCCGGTGTAGTGGAGGCAGACACAGGGAGGAGAGTATGAGGCGGCAGAACCAGCTCATCTCTCTCAACTCCTGTCCCCATAGTGTGGAAAGGAGGTTGAATGTCACTACTACCCTCTGGACTGTAAAAGAGAGACACTTATCAGCCTCTAGCGCCTTAAGTTTCTAGTGCAAGCGCTCAAAATACTAACCTTATATACAAATAACTGTGCAATCACATGCAAGAGTGACACAATATGGTGTAATAACCTAAATATCAAAGTGCCACTCTAATGATGATCTAAGGTTCCTGTTTGGAGATATGAAAAAACTTGTTATATACTGTGGACGTGGTAAAGAAGAAATGCATTAAAAACGCATTACTGGGTTGCAAAACGCCTAAATACATAGTTAAAAATAGTTTATAAATAAATTATATAAAGTGCTGTCCAAATGGGGAATGTGCCACATTAAAAATCAAATAAGGTCTTCCAACAAATCAAGCAAGTAATTAATTATAGGTGAGGGATCAGTAAAACATCAGTGGCAAACACATGCAATGAGTGAAAAAGGTGCAAAAATATGCTAAATAAACATTGTCAAAGAAAAAGTTCCTGTGTTCCACCATACAGTGTCAAATGCTTCCCCGCTAATCGGCTAACTTGCCTCCTCACCGGCTTACATCGACCCCTCAGGCCCCACAGCATTCAATTTCTGAAGATCCTTATCTCCTGCTCTATCAAGCACTTCATCTGCCCCTTGGATCACTCTGAAGTATTCCCATAGACCCCCACTTCAGAGCTTCGATAGGATTTAATTACTCACAATCCAGTGACAACAATGTAAAGAATGGACGATCATCTAAGTGCCTGTAGTATATCAAGGGCCAAACGAACTTCAATACAACTGTTTTTACACCTAAGCATATAGCGCACACATGTTTTTCCATTCCTCTCGACATGTGGGATGTACTGACGCTGAAATGTGTGAAGGACTTCCAGGAGTTTCTCCAAGAGTGGCGGTTGGCACCGGAAGTGCGAGTTCCTATGTGCGTATTAAAGTGATCGTTCTGGCTTGATCAAATACTGCACCTTAGAGAGACCCATTGTTTCTCTTTGTCTTTCTTCAGCTCACTGGGGATCTCAGGTGAGTAATCACTCCTATAGAAAGCTTCTCTAGTGGGGTAATGGGGTAATAACCTTCAGATGTGATCCAGTGACGGCGGCAGGAGAATGCTGATCCATCCTGGAGATAAGGATCCAGAGGTAGATCCTGATTGCTGTGTGGCCCTTAGGGTCGATGTATAAGGAGTGTGCTCCGGCAATTTCAGCCGTAGGAGGGGAAGATTTGCACTGCTGTGGAACTAATAGAACACTTTTTCTTTGCACAATTTTTTAGCATATTTTTGCACCTTTTTTCACTTTGCATGTGTTTGCCTCTTATTTTTTATGGACTATTTTTTTGCTTGATTTTTTGGAAGATATATTTGATTGAATGTGGTCACATTACCACATTTGGAGCACTTTATGAAATTATTTATAATTTATTTTTTATATGTATTCATGCGTTTGATATTTATGCGTTTTAGCATTCCTTTACCACGTGGTATATACAGCGTTTTTTCTCATATCTTTATGAAACCTTAGATCATCAGCTAAGTGAGCACTTGATATTTAGGTTATTTCACCATATGTCGTGTCCTATTGCTTGTGAGCACAGTTCCTTTAATCCATCCCTATTAGACTAGTTTTTGCGCGCTGCACTATTTATGTACCTTTTTGGTATAATTCACTGTTTGGGTAAACTTTCTTAAATGTTGGCAGCTTACCAGTCTGGTTAATTTACCTTTTGCGCAGGAGGATCTCTGTTATATACCGTTCAGCTGTACATAGCCCTGTCAAGTCACCACTGGGGGAGCCTCGACAGTCCAGTGTCATGGGCGGGGGCCCCTAACCAATAGCATGAAGAGCAGCATGGTTCACCTTGCCCCCTGGCTGTCCTCCCTGGCTCCGGGAGCTGTTTGCCTCTGCCTCACTCCCTGCTCATGCTTTCAGGGTACTAAAGAAATGCAGCAGAGTTCCCCAAGTTTTGGCATCCTGTCCAGAAACCCTGTGTCCACCAGGCAATACCCAGTGTGCCCTAAGACCCAGTCCGGGGCCTGCCACCAACCTTGTAATGGTGAGGGATGGTGTGTATCGACCCTCCTGTGATGGAATCTGGGGAATTACAGAGGACAGGGACATCTCTTTGGTGGGTTCCTGTAGCTGGATGACTCCACCAAAGGTGTCCTGGTGTTCTTCTGGAATCTCGGACTCCTCCAAATCACCCCATCCTCATCACTCCTCCTCTTTTATCTTTTCTTTAACCTCAACTTTAGGATCTCTCAGGTTTCCACTCTGAATATATAATAAAATGACATCAATGGTAACAATGCAGATAATGTACAGATCCTAATGATACTATCAGTGATTGTTCCTCATCTACCTGATGATGGTGAGGGATGGTGTGACCTTCCTGTGTGGAATCCCGGGAATACAGAGGACGGGGACATCTCTCTGGGTGGTTCCCATGACTGGATCCATCTGTAGGAAACACACACACTGACTGAATCCATTGTTTCTATGTGTTTATCAGATGATGGGGGATCTAGGTGGATCCTCCGTACTGCTCTCTCCTTTACAATAAAGTCTCCTCTTACCCGGTGATGTGAGGGGCGCGGCTGATTGTCCATCATGACGTCCTTGTAGAGATCCTTGTGTCCTTCTAAATACTCCCACTCCTCCATGGAGAAAATAGACAGTGACACCCTGACACCTTATAGGAACCTGACACACACAATGATACAGTCACCATCCAGACACATCCCTTGTCTGTTACTGGAGAATGTCCCAGAATTCCCGGCACCGCTCACCTCTCCTGTCAGCAGCTCAGTGATCTCTCTGGTGACTTCTAGAATCTTCTGCATGTTGTGTCTCTCAGGGTTTAGGGAGTCACATGGAGGCACTGTGATGGTCATATGATCACCTGACTTCAGAAGAGGAAATCTCTGTATTGAGGAACCAATAGGAATATCATGTTAGACTCCCAGAATCCTCCTCACCTCTCCGGTCAGGTCTGTGTTTTATTAATAGTGATGAGTGATGTCATGTGACCTCCCAGAATCTTCCCTCACCTCTCCCGGTCAGGTCTGTGTTTTATTAATAGACATGAGAGTGATGTCATGTGACCTCCCAGAATCCTCCTCACCCCTCTGGTCAGTCTGTGTTTTTATTAATAGAGATGGGAGTGATGTCATGTGACCTCCCAGAATGCTTCTACCTCTCCGGTCAGGTCTGTGTTTTATTAATAGAGATGAGAGTGATGTCATGTGACCTCCCAGAATCCTCCTCACCTCTCCGGTCAGGTCTGTGTTTTATTAATAGAGATGAGAGTGATGTCATGTGACCTCCCAGAATCCTCCTCACCTCTCCGGTCAGGTCTGTGTTTTATTAATAGAGATAAGTGACGTCATGTGACCTCCCAGAATCCTCCTCACCTCTCCGGTCAGGTCTGTGTTTTATTAATAGAGATGAGAGTGATGTCATGTGACCTCCCAGAATCCTCCTCACCTCTCCGGTCAGCAGGTAGATGATCTCCAGGGTGAGGTTTTAGTATCTTCTCAGTCATGTGACTCCGGTCCTCCTCCATCCTCATTGGTGCCATCATGTGATCTATACAGGTCTCCTTGTAGACGGATAACTTTGGGAAATGAAAGTAAGAATTACACTCACCGGCCACTTTATTAGGTCCACCTTGCTAGTTCCAGAAAAATCTCCCCCCCACCATGACACACCACCAGCCTGAACCGTTGATACAAGGCAGGATGGATCCATGCTTTCATGTTGTTTATGCCAAATTCTGACCCTACCATCTGAATGTCGCAGCAAACCAGTCTGCCCATTCTCCTCTGACATCAGCAAGGCATTTTCCTCCACACAACTGCCACTCACTGGGATATTATCCCTTTTTCGGACCATTCACTGGAAAAACCTAGAGATGGTTGTGGGGAAAATGCCAGGAGATCAGCAGTTTTTTGAAATACCCAGACCAGCCTGCCTGGCACCAACAAGCACACCATATTCAAAGTCACTTAAGTCCCCCTTTCTTCCCCCATTCTGATACTCAGTTTGAACTTCAGCAAGTTGTCTTCACCACGTCTAGATGCCTAAATGCATTGAGTTGCTGCCATGTGATTGGCTGATTAGCAGTTTGTAGTTACCCAGCAATTGAACAGGTGGACCTGATAGGGTGGCCAGTGAGTGTATTTGGATGGTATTGGTCACACAATAATAGGATGTGGATGTGAGGGGGGAATAGGAGGTTTGCTGGACATCTAATCACCTCAATACCGGACACTTCCACCCCTTCCTGACCAGAACACTTTTTTCAGATGTCAGTGCTGTCGCAGTTTGGATGACAATTGTGCGGTCATATACAGTACTATTCTAGGCTCTGCCTAGTCTGGGCAAAAATTGTGTCCCATTCCCAACGTGTCCAACTGCATGAAAATCCATCCAAATTCAATATAAATCCTTCATAAATACTGAATAGAAAAATAAAATCATCAATATTAATAGTTCTTTTACATCGGTTGATGTGTTTTCTGCCTCTCCAATCACACTGCGCCAACCGACCGTGCGGAATAAAAGTGCCTTGTGCTCCTCCAATCACACTGCGCCAACCGACCGTGCGGAATAAAGTGCCTTGTGCCTCTCCAATCACACTGCGCCCAACCGACCGTGCGGAATAAAGTGCCTTGTGCTTTCACGAAAGTGTGGATCTTGTGCTTCCCTCCAGTGCCCCCCCTCCAGTGCTCTCCCTCCAGTGTAACCCCTCCAGTACTCCCCCTCAGTGCTACCCCTCCAGTGCTCCCCTCCCAGTGCTCCCCTCCAGTGCTACCCCTCCAGTGTAACCCCTCCAGTGCTCCCCCCTCCAGTACTACCCCTCCAGTGCTCCCCCTCCAGTGCTCCCCCTCCCCCACCCACAGGATGTGGACTCTTACACTGGAATAGGAGTCCTATGTGCTGTGTCATGGTCCTGGTTAGTCTGGAGCTTGTAGTCCTCCTGGATGATTGTGTACAATTCCCCCCCCAATATATCATATACAACTGATGGTTCATCTCATGATGTATGCAGGGAGGAGATAACAACAATCACCCACATGGTGTCATTCCATTTATTACAAAACTTCCTTTACAGCAAACCATATACACTCACATTTGTATATAATATACAAGCAAAATGTCCGACCGAAAGTGGCCCATCCACATGAGTCCCACCATTCGGGAATTACATCACCGCAGCTGTTACTGATGCATTTCCCCTCCTCTAGGGGGCTGTAAGAGGATTGGCTGCTGGTGGTAGATGGTCTTATTTATACTGTGTGTCTCCATATCTCCGAGCCCACTTCCCCTTCCTGTCCTAACCCGGTGTCACCTCCGTGTCCCCCGTGGCCTTGCGTGGTCATGCAACACTGAACCCAAATGACATTTGTATCATTTTTTAGACAGATAGAGCTTTCTTTTTGTGGTGCAGTATTTATTCACCACTGAGGGGGGGAGGGGTCATTTATTGCTAAACAAACAAAAAAAAAAAACAATAATTTTGAAGAAAAAAATGTTTTTCTTCGTTTGTTATAAAATTTTGCAAAAAAAGTTATTTTTCTCCTTCACTGAATGGCACTGAAGTAGCTGCACTGATGAACAGGCACTGATAGGTGGCACTGATTTGTAGCACTAATAGGCATGGATATGCTGCACTGATGGGCACTGAGATGCTGCACTGATATGCTGCACTGATGGGGATGCACTGATGGGCACTGATATGCTGCACTGATGGGGATGCACTGATGGGCACTGAGATGCTGCACTGAGATGCTGCACTGATGGGGATGCACTGATGGGGATGCACTTATGGGCACTGATATGCTGCACTGATGGGGATGCACTGATGGGCACTGAGATGCTGCACTGATGGGGCTGCACTGATGGGCACTGAGATGCTGCACTGATATGCTGCACTGATGAGGATGCACTGATGGGGATGCACTTATGGGCACTGATATGCTGCACTGATGGGGATGCACTGATGGGCACTGAGATGCTGCACTGATGGGGATGCACTGATGGGGATGCAATGATGGGCACTGAGATGCTGCACTGATGGGGCTGCACTGGTGGGGGCACTAATAATCAGAGTAAATGTCCCCTGTCACAGGAAAGCTGGTTATCAGTTTTCCTTTCCTCAGACAGTGACAGTGCTGAGGACAGGAAATCCCAATAAACGGCTTTTGTTTACATGCGATGAGCTGTGATTGGATACAGCTGATCACATGGTAAAGAGACAACATCATTGGATCTTTTCCCTGATCAGGGATGCGTTGAGCTCCCCACCAATCACCATGCTGCGTCCCCCTCCACCTGCACAGCAAGAGTGGGAGGACATCATACAACATCCTTCCAGAAGGAGAGGTCCTGTCCGCCGTCATTGTACAATAGGCCGGGTGGGAACCAGTTCAGAACTTCTGTCCTCCTGGGAACACATTTAGTTTGGACTGTTTAGTGTTTGATGCATATTTGAGGTCCCGGGACCCTCTTGTCCATCCAGATCAGAAATCCCCTTTTCTCTGTTGGGTTTGTTTGGTCTCTGAACTGGTTTTGATGAGTATTAGATCTGCAGACAAGGAATGATAAATCTGATCCTTCCTATGACTTGTTTGCTCTGAGGCAGTGCTGTGAGGTCAATGTCGGCTCATCATGAGGTCCAGGAAGGGGAACTTGATGACTATTGGCTGAGTTGCCTGATAATCAGGATAATTGGAAGAACTCCGGCTGCAAGGCTCCAATCTCGGGGGCGCATGCACGGCCGGCTCCCGTATGGAAGTGTAGAGACAGACTCTCCTGTCCAGCCGCTACAGCGATCGCAGCTCACACAGGCCTCAGGGATTTTTAACCCCCTAGTGTCCTGCATGAGAGGTGCCAGACCCTCACCAGCTATGCCCCGGAGGAGAAAAAACCCTGGGACAGCCAGGGAAATTAACACAATTCTTCCCTGCCATCACAGCAGAGATCCAAGATGGCGCCGGCGGCAGCTACATGAGGGACAGCAGACAGGAATGAGACAACCCAGACCAGCAGAGAGATCCCAGGCTGCAGCATCCATTATATCCAGGGGACCCTGGTGAGTTGTCTCCCCCTCTGTCCCCCACCACAAGAAGCCCGGCCAAATCCAGACCTAGATTAGACCCTGAACAACAACAGCCTGTTTCTCAGGCCCCCAGCCTTCCAGCACCTCAGATCAACACAGACCTCCCAGCCGTAGAAGCATTCCCTGCAGCAGATCAATCCTTAACGGAGATATGCATGAAGAACATGCTTCTATCGCTCAGACAGACCCTACAAAACAATCTATCATCATCACTAATACAAATCAACACCGCGGTCCAACAACAAGAACACAGATTACAACATATTGAGTCCAGAATGGGTGACATCATTACAACGCATAATGATTTGATTGACGCACACACAGATCACACGTCTGACATCGAACAAATCAATCTGAAACTAGCTGATCTAGAAGATCGTTCAAGACGTAACAATATCAAGTTCAGGGGTATCCCTGAAAGCGTCATTAATGAGGCATTGCTACTCTACATTCAACAATATATAAAACTCCTCATTCCATCTCTCACCGACCTTGAGCTTGCTATAGACCAAGCCCATCGACTACCTAAACCCTCATTCCTGCCGGCATCTATCCCAAGAGATGTCCTGGCTCAGATTCACTTCTATCACATCAAAGACAAAATGATGTCGGCGGCCAGAAACACATCTGCACTCCCGCCATCACATGCAAATATCCGGTTATTTGCAGACCTCTCAAAGACCACGCTACTTAACCGCAAAAAGATGATTACCATTACTAAAGCCTTAAGAAACCACGGCATAGCCTATCAGTGGGGACTCCCCACAAAACTAACCGTGAGACAACATGGTAGAGTTTTTACAATCAAAAACCTTGAAGTGGGCCTAGATCTACTCAAAGCTTGGAATATAATCCCTGTGGAAGCACAACAATCCACACCTACTACTCTCCAGAATATGGAAGCTGAATATTCTGAATACAACTCGCCTATGTTATACTACCAATATATCACCTCAAAGTTGTCCCACCTCATCATTCTCTGGCGATCAGCCATTTTCAGAAAGTTTTATGTTTCCAAGATATGGTTGGCATGACCTTCTTTACGGGCAAAGGCTGTTCAAACCCCCCACATCTGAAGTAGCAAGACGAGTTACTCAGACCACTTGCGTTTTCTTTTTTACCCCCTTCCACCTTCCCTACCACCTCCCTCCTCAGCACCATCAGTCGTCCACTATTGCTTCAACATTCACCTGACTTTGACAAATTTTTGTGAAATACCCACCTTAAACCCAAGACCGAACCCAAACCGCTTCAACAATGCTGACAAATTGTTCCCTCACACGGATACACTCGCAGAACTTAGCATTCTCTCAAGATTCAACTCAAATACTCTGCTCAGCACTCCAAGACCCACACTATGATCAACATCACATCTCTCAATTTTCACGGTTTAAACTCTCCATTCAAAAGATCGATGCTCCAAAGAGAAACTAGAAAGTACCAGTCCGACATTCTTTTTTGTACAAGAATCCCACTTTGGCACAAACAAGACCCC